GCCATGACAGAGAGGGAGAACACATCGGCTCCCCCTAGAAGGTGGAAGAAGAACATCTGGGTGACACAGCCACTGAAGGAGATGGTCTTTCTCTCTGACAGAAGATCTATCAGAGCCTTAGGAGCTGTGATGGAGGAAAAGCAGATGTCAAGAACAGAGAGGTTGCGGAGCAGGAAGTACATGGGGGTGTGAAGGTGAGATTCCCAGGTGACTGTAACCATGATGAGGAGATTGCCCATCAGAGTCGTCATGTACACCAGGAGCAAGAAGAAGAATAAGACCCAGCTCAGCTCTCTGGACTGAGTAATTCCCAGAAAGATAAGTTCTTTCACTCTTGTGTCATTTCCTGAATCCATTGCATCACAGATACTTTTTCAAGTTCATCTCTGGAAGAAATAACAGTATAGTTATTAAAATATGGTCTGAAGTCTAGTGTCATCTTTTAGATTTGGGGGGAATATTTTTTCTACTTATGCACTGTGCCTACTATTCAGAATGTGGCCATTAGTTGTTGAACAATTACCCAGGATTTTGACTCAGTTTTCTAAGCGGACAGATCTGTCACTGAAGTCATCAAAGATTTCACTACACAATCTGACACCTAAAATAATAAAAAGCAAGCATAAATTTGACCACTTTAACAATTTCTGTTCAGAAGCCATCATTAAGACAGTTAAAAGGTTTCCTGAAAAAAGGAGAAGACATTTACATTAAACAATAAAACAGTCATGTTCAGAATATGTAAAGAGTTGCAAATCAGTTCAAAAAATCCCCCAGATGACCCAACCCAAAATAGCAAAAGGTAGGAATCAACATTTTGCAAAACAGGATGTCTAAATTCCAATTCCACTTTTCTTGTTAGCATGGAAATGCAAATTAAAATGACAGGAATCAAGTGCTATATACACATTAGAAAGGCTAAATTGGGAAAGATGAAAAACCCGGAAGGGATGATAAGGGATGGAGCAGTTGCAAGTCTTGCACATGGATGGTGGGTGTGTAAAACTGGCACAACCACTTTGCTGCTTGTGTTTTCTGATAAAACTGTATATGTAATTAGATATAGATGCACATTTCCTAAAGGTCTATTTCTGCCTCTGAATCTCTCCTAAGGATGTTTCTTCTCCTAAGGAATATGTGCACATGTCTACCAAGAGACAGATCCTAAAGTTTTCAGAGCACCGCTGTTTCTAACTCCCTCAAACTGGGAAAGGACCTAAAAACCCCACTAACAGTAGAAAATACAAATATACAAATAGTGTCACAGTCACAACAGACTATGCAGCAGTTAGAGTGACTCATGCTATATATACGAATATAAGTGAGTCTCACAAACACCATGTTGTGCTGGATAACCCACACTCCAGAGGGAACACACTCTCACTTTGCTCACATGGGCAGAATGGAAGGCAGCCTGAGGAGGCTGCTGTGGTGCTGATGAGATTCTGGGGCTTGTTCCAAAGGTGTATTCAGCTTGTGTAAAAATTCATTGTTCTCTACGCTCACAGGCATTTTCTTCTGTATGTCAGTATATTTCAGGATGAAGTTACAAGTAGTAAATAGGTGGTCATTCCTTCACAACATTTTAGTATCATGTCTAAAGAGTCAGTTTCATGTACAGCAAAATGGAATGGGCCACCCAATTTCATAACAGCTGACAATTTCATAGTCACCCAGTTACAGTCTTCACCAGCTACAGCCTGACAGTCACCCTTGTATTTTCTACTCACTTCCTTTAGGTCCTCCCAAACCCTCAGTAGTTGACCTGTTGTCCACATGTAGTTCTTTTGGTGATTCTGATTTTAATTCCTCTATTCCTTTACATTTTGCTCCTCTATTTTTTTTT